TACGATGAAACGGTCGCTCAGTCATAATAAATTTTGACAGTTCGCTGGCATAAAAATCTCCATCAATTTTCCCACCTTCTAGGTCCTCTAAAGCGTAGATGTAATGATTCTGTCGTTTTTTAACTTGTATAATTTTAAAAATTTCTTCAGTGTAATTGGTTTCGTATCCCTTTTCGAACGTCTGCTTGCGTTTTGCTATACGCAAGTGATCCCCAACCTGAAAAATAGGATTTTTTGCCTGTGGCTCTTCTATCATGTCTTGACGTATAATGCGCGCTTCATCCACATCCACTTGACTGGGTGCAAACCCTGTACTAGAGTGAACAGAATTATTATACGATTTTAAAATCTCAGGTAAAATATCGAGGTACTTGTAAGTATTATTCTCTGTCATGTACACGTCCAGACGTTCCTTAATTGTTCGGTTAAAGCGTTCTACCATGGCACATTTAACGTCGTCGTTCTTTGTTATAAAAAACTTGATATTGTGATCAGTAAAAAAGTTTTTCAGTTGTTTATTCACAAATTCTTTACCATTATCGCTTTGACAGCGCAGTGGTCGTTCAGATTCTTTATAAATATTACACAGAGCACAAATAATTTCTTCGGGTTTCTTGGATTTGACGGGCTCGGCCCAGCCGTAGCGAGAGAAACAATCGACACAAGTCAGTAAATACTTAACGTCTTTATTATCATTCGCAAATTTTTGCATATCTGCCAAGTCAATTTGGTGCTGGTCACCAATATTAAATGATAAAATCTTCCGACGTTTAAATTTCGACCGAAAGGGTTTATGTTGAGTATAAGCGTCTTTGCTTTGCAAATACTCTTCCACTTGCTGACGAGAAAATCCATGATTTTGCGCTTCCCGGTACAAACGCTCGATGCCTCCCAGACTACCAGGATTAGAAGCATCTAAATAAATATCGTCCAGTGTTGCCATTATGCGTAGCTGAGCCAACCACCCTTCTGTGTCTTTTGCTTCTTTTTAGGAGGACCAGTAGATTTTGTGGTTTTACGCCTTAATAAGTCATAGCTCTTTTCAACGCCATTCTTGAGGGTGCGTGTTTCCGTTGGTTCTGTATAGGTCAACGCTTTGGCTGTCGGAGCCGCTGGTAAAGCCTTCGAAGTTGATGGGGCGGGCAAAGCTTTTAAATTTTCCGGTACAGGTAAGGCCTGTGAAGTCGAAGGGGCCGATAAAGCCCTGGATGTATTCGCTTTTCTTTCGGGAACCTTATACGGAGCCGCTTTTTTGCTGCGTGTAATTGGACCATAGCTTCGCGGTGCAACCACAACGTCAATCCGGTCTGTAGTAGCGACACGGGAAGTGGTTCGTATTCGGGAGGTACATACTCTAATGACCCATCATCAGGAAACTCTACGATGGGTGAGGATGGTAGCTTCTTTTTTGGTTTTTGCCCTTTGGATATTGGCTTGGGGCGTGGACTTTTATACACATGTTTTACCAGTGTCTCTCTAGGTACATACTGTGGTACGTATTGTAGAACTGGATCACGTTCGATATACTGTACAACGGGATCGCGCTCGATATACTGCACAATAGGTTCGCGTTCAATATATTGTATTGTGGGCTCACTTTGGATATATACCGGCTCACTTGGTAGATACTGAATAACCGGAGGTTCGGTCGCTTGCGTTGATCCATCAGTAAGTAGGGGCGCAGCTTGAGTACCATAGTTTCTTTGCGAAGGCACGTTTGGTATGTGTTCGTTAACTTCAGATCTTATAACCCGTGGTTCATAGTCTGCAGGCTTAGTCTGATACGCGGCTCGAGCCAGCAAATCATGAGTCATGGCACTACGAATTTTTTCAGCCTTTTTCCATGATGTGGCTTTGGTCTTGCCGGGCGCAGAAAATTCGGACTCTGGCACAAGAACGTAGGTCTTCATTTTGTTATAAATGATGCAACTAGTGTTCCTAGAATTGGAAGTAGAGCAGCTAAGAATCCTCCTTTTTGCGCTAAAATTGTTCGCTTTTTAACGTGTGAAAGTTTTCTGTCGGCTAAACGCTTAATTATCGGTGCAAAACGTCGTGCTCTGGCTAAATCAACTTTACTCAAAGCCGTTGGTTGCTTCACCAAATTTAAACAAGCTTCTTCAATTGCTAAAATTTGTTTTTTAGAAGCAACCTGTAAAAAATATCTACGCTGTCGTGGATTCATGATTACCAAAGCGCGTAGTATACTGAGAACGTCTTCTGGATTCATTTTTCCACGTATATTTTTCGGTAGTCAAATATGTTTGACTGTAGCCTTAGCCTGTCAGGTGTATCAGGACGGAGATTTATTACCAAATAACCAAAAGGTTCCTTTATAGCCTTTTTGTATGCATCACACAAATGCGGCATACCTAGCTGGCGAGAAAGTAGTTTAATCTGTTGTACATCATGTACAGATTTAAATAAAATTAAATATTGTGAGTTAAGAGAGATATCTCTCATGCTTCTGCCTTGTTTGTATAAATTTTGCGATATAAAGATAACGGAAAAATTTTTATGATGCACATCTCTGGTAAATATTGTCGAACACTTTGCGTTTTTTGATATTTCTTCCATGAGATCATCAAGAATAAGTAGCGTAGGCGTATTTCTATCAAAAAAATTTTCATCCTCCAAGATTTTATCCATTCCTGGCAGCAACTCGATGGACTTATCAAAATTACTGAATGCCTCTTGCCATGTACCGTACGCATATACTATACGTATGGGCGCAGGTGTGAAATTATTGGGAATACTCCGTAAAAGTTGCATCGTAAATGTCGATTTTCCGGACATAGTTGGACCAGAAATATAAAGCGAACAAAGAGTTTTAAATCTGAAATCAAAAGTCACCTTTTCCATTTTAAAAAACTCCGTTTTCAAACCGCTATTTGTATGCTTTATCTATGAGAAATTTTTTTCAAGAAACTCCTGATTTTGACTTTGAAAAATTCCGTTATTGATTCAGATTCTGGAGTTTTCAGTTGAAGAATCTAGGAGTTTTATTACAAATTCAAAAACTTCTCGAATTTGCTCCGAAGAAGTACAACCAAGGACTACACAGCTACCGGTATGGAAAATATGAATGGTAGCGTACGAAAGCCTTAATTTTAGTGCTGGAAACAGCTCTGGTTCTAGTAGACGTTGCATGGAGAAGTTTTTTGCTTTTTCGTAAAGCTTTACCAAGTTAACGTTGTGTGTATGCTTGTACGTGCAAACGGTATTTGCGACACTGCTGTCCTTAATGTTTAACTCTATGCCTTGAGTATAAAGCATCATTTGATAACATTTTAGGAGTGAATACGTCCCTGTAATACTTTTAGCACCGTTTATTATAGCCTTACCATTAGGGAATAATTGACAGAACGTTTTGTTTTGTAAACTTAAAGTGACAGCATCAAATCCTTTAACGGACTTTGTATTAAGTGGAAATGATTTCCAAACTTTCTCCAAACAAATCGCTTTGTCGAATTGGACGGAAAGAATGACGTTACGGATATCCATGGCTACGAGCATTAATTGCGACAGTGTCAACTTGGAACCTTTATATACCTTTCAAGTTAAGACTGTCACAAATAATGGCTTCTAAGCCTTTTTTCTTTTCACAACAAACAGAACAGAGTAAATGCTAAGTAAGATATGCTAATAAAAATTGAAGCATCCAGTCAGGCAACAATATCCCGTCCCCAGTGCTGGATGTAGATTTCCTCCATGAGATTGATGAATCCCTGATATGGTAGTTGAATGGTGCGCCGAGGTTGAGAGAAACGAATCATGCATCCGTATTTCGGGTGGATGCTGACAGTAACATCCACACAGCCCTGGCCCGGTAGAGAAAACTTTTCAGCGCTCTTGTCAACGATGGCGCGGTCCATGTAGTCCTGGAGCGCCCCGTTACGAATCATCCCTAACATGCTGTTGATATCGGCATACGCCAGGCGAACTCCTTTGTCCATGGCCTTCTTCAACCCAGAACCGTCCGGTTTGGCATCGAACACTAGAAAGAAGCAAACGTCCTTCGGGTTCCAAAACATACTAACTACAGCGTTGATTTTGTAGATAGTAAAATCTTCATGCACCCCCAAAACTTCCAAAGCCCGTACTAAAGCCATGTTGATGTCAACAGTAGAGCAGTAAACGCAAAACTGAAATTACTACAGACAAACATTGCTCTTAAAGACTTACAACAGTGAAATTCCACTGGCGATGGTGCGCCAGTGACGTCATAGGCATCGCACTTGGACAGTATATCCATATATTGTGTTTCAAGACGATACAGTAAAGTTTCGTCGTGCGCAATTCTCCACACGTCACCATTTGTCATGTCGTTTGCTAGCGAAACAATAGCTGAAGCACATTCGAGATGAAATTCCGCTGGTAACGGTTGAATATTGAAGTTTTGAATGAAGGCCAACGAACGTCGCAAATCACCCCATTTTATGGAATGCAGCAGTTTGATTCCTTTTCTAGGAATTCTCGCGCGGCCGCAAGAGATCTCACCAATGAATCGATCGATTTGAATGACGGTGACCCCGTTTACAACAACGCGCTTCGCCATCAAACCATCGCTTAAATCTTTAGCGTCTTCGCGGCTGTTCGCTTCACGTAGATAAACAAGGACCTGTAGAAATTCAGGAATCGAAAGTCACAAAGATTTCTTATAACATCGAAATCCAGTCATTTGGATTTTACCAGAATCTAAGAACTTCAGATGAAAAGATCCAGAAGAGTATTCCCGTTGCGCTGGGATAAAAAGTAAGTCTGAAAGGTCAAACGAATCCATGGCTGCAGAAGATGCAAATGAGCTTTCAACGACAAAGAATCGACTTATATATACGGAACAAACATGGTCAGAACGCGCTAGTATATGTTCGTACATGAATGTCGCCACCAGTTGACTGCACCAGAGAGAGTCAGAGAGAAAGTAGGTCATCGCCAGTACCGTTTCATGGATAAAAGCTGATTTCTTTGGCAACGAAAGCTCATTTGCAATTTCAAACGCCATGGATCAGTTCAAAGGCTGTTTATTAGGCGCACTCATCGGAGAATGTGTTGGAACACCCCTCAAGCGCCCCACGTCTTGCCACATGAACCTGGCGGGGGTGCGTAGTAAAATTTCGACTTACTGGGAAAAAATGCTACTGACTCACGCTTACGGAAGGTCACTACTGGATACCGGCTACTTTTCCATGGAAAATGCCGCTCGGGAATGCAGCAATGCTTTTTACCAGAACTACACTAAGCGGACAGCCTTTGGCAAACTGACTGAGATTATTGCCAGCTGGAAACATTCGCCCCCAAAAGACTGGACCGCCGCGGCGCAGAGCGTCCGCAACCGGGGAACAGAGTGTAATCCCGCCGCTTGGATAACAGCGTTTCCCTTGTACTTTTACAATCGGACGGAGCAGATGAGTTACTCTGTAGACCGTGTAGCTCGACTTACCCACTCCTCCAATGACGCCGCCGCTGGAGCACAGTTGCAGGCTTACGCCATTAGTCTGGTTCTAAAGAATAAAAAGATGAAGGAGCTTGAGTTTCTCGCCGCTCTTGTTGAATACACTAGCAAGTCTCTCCCCGATTCTGTACGTCAGGAATTTTATACACGTATGATGATGGTGCTGGACTACGCGCAACGCGCTGAACCGAAAGAGAAATTGTTCAAAGCGATTGGCGTTGGCACCAGCCCTTTGGACGCAGTTCCCGTTGCCATTTACTGTGCTGCTATTGGCCGCCGCAGCGGATGCCCTTTTGAAGCCACTTTTCATGCGGCAATGTCAACTGGAGGATGCACTGATGCCATTGGGACCATGGCTTGTGCCATTGCAGGAGCCTGGTCCGGATTCTCAGGTATACCTGACGAAATGGTGGGCATGTGGGATGGCCAGGAGCAGATTTATGCCTTAGCAAAAGAGCTGTACACGTACGTTTCCACACTGCACGGTCCCGACGGACCACTCTCCACGATCGAAAATTGGCCACACCTCCTACCTTCCGCTGGCGCCATGGCGAGGACGGGCCTGTACTACATCGGATCAAAAGATACTGTTAAATGTCATTACTGTCGGTTCACAATGAGCAACTGGACACCGGGAGATCCATACAGTGACCATCAGAGATTTAACGAAAATTGTATTTTTGTCACAAACTGTACTGCTACTCCTGCGTATGTTCGTGCGTCATGATTTGTTTTACTTTGTTCATTGTTATGTGAAAAGAAAATAAAAGAGGGTGGGGAAAATTGAAACAAAAGAAAGGGGGTAAACATGACCCAGAAACTAGATCCGGGTTTGGTCTCCGCTCTCAATCTGGACTGCAGTGAGCAGGCAGCCAGACTAGCGGCCCTGTCTCGGGCTCAGTCTCGGTTTCGACCAATCAGAGATGATGCCAGACTAGCGGCCCTGTCTCGGCCTCAGTCTCGGTTTCGACCAATCAGAGATGATGCCAGACTAGCGGCCCTGTCTCGGCCTCAGTCTCGGTTTCGACCAATCAGAGAAGGGGGCGTGTCTGACCAATCAGAGAAGGGGGTGTGTCTGACCAATCAGAGAAGGGGGCGTGTCTGACCAATCAGAGAAGGGGGTGTGTCTGACCAATCAGAGAAGGGGGCGTGTCTGACCAATCAGAGAAGGGGGTGTGTCTGACCAATCACGTGTCCCTGCCAGACCTATTGACATACTACTTTTATTAAAAATTCAAGCGATTCACTTGTTTTGCTGGTTTGTCTTCCTTCGCAAGGCTAAACGTACATTAGTCATAATAAAAACTCAGCTTTTATTACTACAGTATCTTTAATTACCATCCAGTTATGCAGTTGTTATAAAAAATCTAAAGAAACGCGAATAAAATACAGTACGGATATTCTTCAAGCCTCACATAATCATTAATCACTGCAGTTACACTAATGTCATTCTCCAAAACATCCCTGGAGTTTCATCAGGAAATGCTGCGAAATCGGCGACAATTTTTCCACTTGCAAATCTTTCAGGCAATCAGTGCACCACTTCTTCCCGTGATAATGCAGTGACGGCCGCGGATCCGCTGTCTGGGTTGCGCAGAGAACCTGGCAAAAAAAGCTTTGTTAAGAACATTCGGGGATTTCTTCACATATAATGTGGCAACGAACGACTATGCCAAAAATCAAATTCATATACAACTGTCAGTCTGTCAGCACAAAGCCTGGCTGTATTAAAGCTTCTCACCTTGCAAACCGTCCCGACATAAAGAGCCAGTTCCACTCCTTTCAACCGGTTCAACCAGTTCAGCCAGTGCGTTAGCTTTCGCCGCTTTCGGAGCGTCAACACGGTTAAGCCGGCATCCAGCGCTTCCCATACCGCGCCATTCATATTCGCAGTAACATTGATGCGAGGCGTAATTCTGATCAGGATCGGCGCCCATTTAAATAAACTGTACCTGTTGGTATAATCTACGCTGAGAGAGACATTCATTAACTGGATGGCTTCGCACGGAAGATCGCGACAAGCCGCGCTGACGTCGCCACAGCTGAGGCCAAACCATACATGCTCATCGATAGTTACAGTCGCGCCGGTTTCGTGGAATAGGCATTCTGTACCTTTGCCCGACAGGTAGATGTTGCCACCGTGCAGATAGCAACGGATCCCCGTGATGCGGACCACTTGAAGTCGGATGTTGCCAATGTGTTTAGCAACATAATGCACCATGTCCAGCATTTGCGCGAGAATGCTGTCTTTCAATAGCCATGTTGGGTCTTGAATCACAAGGGTCTTTGTAGAAGGGTGCAAACATTTGAAGATAGGGGCCGTTGCATAGTACACAAGGTGGTCCAGACGGACGGTTTCGCTTTCTGTCCAGGCAACAACACTGTGGGCAGTGTATACTGGCAACTGCAGAATGCCGTCCCACAAGGAGCAGACAGCGCGGAGAGAGTTCTGCGTCAAAGTATTGAGATGCGAGAAGACCTCCGCCCACAACTCAACCGGTAGTGTCATGGTGTCGGGGGCGCCCTCAGCGTCCGCGCCAAAACCGTCGGTCCGGCGGTTGGCTAACCCTCTCAGCAAGCGAGCAGATGGACTGATTTGGTCTGCCTGGATTAAAAAACACAACGGCTAAAACAAAATTACGTCTATTTGTCAGCTTTGATTATTTCCGCGGATAATAAGCTCACCTGAACCAGCCCTGGCCTCGAATTACTGATTTTCAAACACTTAATGTACCACAGCTGTCGATGCGAGATTTCCACAAGAGAAAAACGGTCATCCTTGCAGAAACAGACAGGGGAATCGTGCTTATGATGTCGTAGCTGGTTTCTCAGGTCAGTTGCCGACACTCTGCCTAGTGAGCCCCACGTCGCCGGCACATAGACGCTAAATTTCTTAAATGTCTTGTTCCCAATACGTCTAGATGGGTGCAAAGCGCAAACGAAATTGAATTAAAAGAACAACGTACAAATCATAAACATATGGTCATCCATATCGATTTTCAGTTGCTTACTCGCTCGTATCTTTATCGCGGATTCGTTGAACTGGGACAACATCTGTAGATGCACTACCAACGTCTTTGTTCCACCATCGGACTACTGCAACATCGCACTGGTTGCGTGTTGCACCGCGCACAATTTTGGCCACCTGAGCGGGGAACCAAATCCACGGACCGGACAAATCCGGGCGCATCAGCACTTCCATGTCCATTTTGGGGTCAGCTTGGGAACGAACCACGATGGTTTCATGGTGTTCGGGTGAAATCCGTTTAGAGAAGAAGACTCTGCTGCCGAATGGGAGGAAGCGTCGGTGTAAGCTGGGACACAGGAAATCAACGAAGACCCCTTCATCTGTCACATCCACCACGCGTCCGTACCGAGCCAGACCATCACTTCCCACAACGTCGACGCTGTTGGCTTGGTAAATTCCGCTCGACATGGCTTGTGGTCTGCAAGTAGCAAAAATTAGTAGCCTTCAACAGCGACAGCACCCCATCATAGACGGATGTTTAGAAAATTGCAGTAGAAAAAAATAAAAATTATTAGGAACACAAAGAAAATGGCGGAACTTGCCGTTCCTCTACCATACCTCTGTCTTTAGTACTCTTTTGCCGTCTGCTCTTACCGAGGTTAACCACTTCTCGCTCTTCTCTGTAATGTCCGAACAGTTTTTCAATGTTAACACGCAAAGTGCTTCCAACCATAATATCGAGTAAAGCACAGTAATTACCGCGCAGTAAAAATTGAATGATACTTAACGATATCTAAGCAGGGCGCAATCCGAGGGAAACCGAGAAACGGCTGAAAAAGGCGCCGATGAGGGAATCGAACCCCGGCTACGTCGTTAGATCCGCGTAGGCAGTACCACTGCACCACGGCGCAATACGTTGAAATCCTTTGAAAGATTTTGTCGCTGTACGTGAGCCGCTTCTCCGCTCACAGATATTTGCAATTGCGTTTAAAGCTTTTCAAGTCTTGTTTTGGGTATTCTTCTCTTTGTAAAACGGGGTCAGAGCAGCAACGGCTAAATCCTGCGAATTAGCATGGCTTACCTTTGTGCCCGACGGAGTCGTATCCAAATTCCAATTATATGCTGAATCGGATACGACTCACGTCTCACTGTACGAAAAAGTGAGTCTGTTTGCTCTGTTGACCTGATGGCTGCCGACCTTTTGTGGCTAATTCTGCGAAACGGTAAGAGGAAATTCGTATGCGCCAGTATATGAAATTTTTTACTTTTAAGTTTTACTGGATTTATTGCGAACGTAATACGCATGCTGGTTTGTCGCTGCCCTTCACGTGCTCAAAAATTTCGTGGTACATAGTACATACAATATTCGGCTGCTTTTCTGCTTTTATGTGCAAGTGAATTTAATTTCCTTAAAAATTTGTTTCTGTATTGCAGTAGTGGAGTTCCGCGCTGATGTAAAACACGAACTGTGATTGGCCCGTAACCGCCCGTTTCTTGTTTGACCTAAGCGATCGACAATGTTCAGCCCATTGCATTACGCTAACAGAGTGGACATTCTTGACGATGACGGGATGTTGCGGTACGGGCGTGTGGTAGACGCGGCCCAGAACGGTCTCTTCGTCAACCTGCTCTACCCCAACCGGCGCCGGCGGCGCAGTAAGTCCCATTCAACAGGCTTTCTTCACCGCGCGAGAGGAACGAAAGTGATCGACATCGCACTTTCCTTACCAAATTCGCGGCATTTCACGTGGAAATCCTGGTGCCGGAGACGACGCTGGGTACGTTGATCTTCCTGCCTGGCCTAGCCATCAGCTTGGGACGCGGTGGTTCTGTAGAACAGTACAGAGGCGCCAACGTCCATCGGCGACGAAAGGGCAACGGAATGCGCTGCACGGCTGTGATCCCCATTCAACGCATCCGATGGCGATGATGCACTCACTGTCACTGCACCCTTACGTCCATCCGCAAACCTTCGTCAAGCGTAACCTGCCCCTGGGCGATGCGCTTCACTCGGCGTCCACTGCAAAATCCGGGGAGCTCATCAAGCGGCTAGTCACTAGGAATTACGTTGCGTTCTCTTTTCATGCGAAGTTGATGTCGTGGGGCTAGTGGACGGCCGTTTGGGTTACATGTACCAGCCACGTTTGGAGCTTCTGGAATATATGGTCACCGCGGCTTGCGAATTCTGGCGATAATGAATGTTTTTGGTGTGAAATCGACTGGGTTAATGACAACGAGTACTGTGCGGTTTTCAGGCGTCGCTGGCCAGTTTCCAGGCAGAGCTACTCAGACTATCTACGGTGTAAGGCAATTTCCCGGCTACAAGTGACATGTTGCGGTCAGAGCAATTGCGGCAGCAACGCCAGCAAGTATCTTCCAACCTGGAAACTATGAAGCAGACAAGGCTGCGCGCGGTGTGCGGCGGGAAGAGCCAGAAACGCGGGGTTGTGTTGTGATCGGAGACTGTGCCGATTTACTTAGTGGAAATTTACCGATTTCCTCCGCATGGCAACCGCGTACAAACGCCTGCAACCGGGCACGCAGCCCGTGCTGACGCAAACCGGCAGCGTCCAATACTGCCCAATGAGTACCGTCCACCTGCAGATGCTGTGCGACATGATTCACTACGTGGCTGGTGGACCTCATTGACATCCGTTTCCATGTCAGCCGTTTTACTCTGAACCTGCAGATTAACGACGCCACCGGCATGGCGGCGCCGTTAGCATTTTTTCAATCCTAAAACCGATTTTTATTTATAA